AAAAAGAACTGGATGATTAAAAAAATTCAATGAAACATTATTGAACTGCGACGTGAACCTAAATAATAATAAATCATCTTTTAAGTATATCAAAATTTCTAATTTCTTATTGAAAGCAATAGGAAACGTCTGATAATAAATTATGAATATAAGACTGAACAATGATTTTTTTGCAATCATTTGTACTAGAATGTACTGACACTTCGCAATCTTTTTCTAAGTTCCTCAAGGTCAAACCCACAAATTCACTCTTTTGTTATCGTATGTGAATTTGTCACTCTGTCAATGATCGGCTACTTCATTCATTGATAGAAATTTTGTTCTATTGTCAGTTCACTTTTATTTTAAATTTTAATTGAAACTTTGGTTTCGTTTTTTGGATTCTGTAAATAAAAAAATATTTGTGTATTACTTCAATCTTTTCTTCTAAAACAATGCTCATTTCTCGTTAAATTGGCTCTTCTTTCCGGTAAATTAGGAATAGCCGAGTAGTTGAGATGCACAAATATGGCTGTTGTTACAGAAGAGCTATCAATAGAAAATACGAGTGGTAACCTATCCGTACTTCTTTCACTAAGTGCAATTTCTAATCTTACTATAATGGAGTGAATCAAAAATAGCGGCCTATACTTTCCAGTGAGTTGAGAATTTTTGTGGAAGCGAGATCTTTTGACAAGAGGGTTTTTTAGCAGCCATTAGGATCCGCACATTTTTAGCTGAACAGTTTCATCAAGCGAGGTCATGCTATCGCTGCTACCATCTGAAGCTTTCTAAGACCATAAATATGAGCGAATTGCCCCTTATAACTTATGCACTATTATACTCATTTTTTTCTTTTTTTGGCTTTTGTACCAATAAAAGAATGTATCAGTGATGGATTTGTCAATATTTTTTAATATTTGCTTTCTAATTTCAAACTTCATAAGCACTAATATTCATCTTCATTAGTCATCTCATTTTGCGCTTTAATAGCAAATTTGTATAATTTTAATTTATATAATCAAATATTCATAATTAAGTGAATCGATTCCATATTTGCTTGCTTTCTAATTTTTTTTTCTATGAATTGTTATTTTTTTGTTATAAATTTTTCTTTGTCGAATTTTCTCGTAAATTATCGCAGAACTTTTTATCTTTGAAGAATGAAAAGAATTCGAATAAAAAAACTCATCAAATTGGCCTTTAAATATTATATGTTTATAAATATTTCATATTTTTATAAAAAGATTCCAATACAGATTCGTTTTCAAATCTTTCTTATAATCGAATCAAACTTGTACCATTTTTTAAAGTGGTTAAATAATATTTAATTGGATGCTTACTGATGCACCGCTGATTTATGTTAGTGAGATAATAATTATTTATAAATAATAAAATAATAATTATTCTCGCATTTCACGATCACCAATCAAATTTTTTCGATATACTTCGATATTTTACGCATTTCTCTCTTAAAATTTATGAAAATGCTATAGTGAAACAATTTATATCAACCAAAATTAAATATTAAATAAATATTATTAAATATTAAAAGTAGAAAAAAATATACCTTTTCATCAGCTGCCGACATAAAAAATATAATAATATAATACAATAAAAAATACAAAAAATATAATAATATAATAATAAAAAATATAAAATATAATACAAATATAAAATAATATAAAATAATACAATAATAATAATATAGTAGAAAATAATATAGTAGAAAATAATATAGTAGAAAATAAATAAGATAATTGACGATATAAAAAATAAAAGTTTTAAAAAAATTTATAATTGGTCAAAGCAAGCATTAGTCTTTATTCAGTAACTATTCTTCCGTTATTACTAATTTATCGCCACTCTTTTCATCGAATATCAAAATTTTGCAGAAAAACAATGATAGCCCTTGAAATGTCGATACGATCAATTTGATAATTTTGAATAGAAATTAGTAAAATTATGCAAAATTAATATTTATGAAAATAATTTATGCTAATACGCTGAGGAAACAATTCCTCGCAAATTAATAAATTAATAAATATTTGTGGAAAATTGGTTAGTCATTTGCAAAAATAAATGCTAGTTTCTAGTTTTTTTACTAAATTGATTTGTGTCTTTTGACTAACTCGTTCCATAAACGGAAAAATAAACTCGTCGAGTGGGATAAATTTATAAATTTTTGCAGTGAATTTGAATTTGATGAATTTTTATCCAAATTAAATTTCTAGTGAATTTTTTAAATTTTATTAATATTCGTTTTCTTTCAGTGTAAATTATTTATTTTAGCATATCAAATCTATGTTGCACTATGGTTTTTTATTTTTTTTAATTTTTAAAATTTAGCAAATAAGCAAAAATAGTTTTTAAATACGTATTGGACTGATTTTATTGAATACCAACAATGAGCCAACTACATCCGCGAAAATCGAGCAAAACCCCACAGATGCAATAATTTACAAAAAAGTGGCGTATTCGGTGTATCGGTGAAACGGCCAATAATTGTCATTTAAATATTTGATTGTTAATTTTTTTGATATATCAAAGAAACTCATCCAAAATCGTAAAATACGCATTATTTATTCTACTATAAATAGAATTCGGACTATTAGTTAAATTGCCGTTATTTTTTTTTTTTTAGAAGTCATAGACTCAATGAAACATTAACATTTTCGATTTGTTGCAAATTCTGAAATTATTTGATTTTAGTCATATCTTTTTATTTATCAAAGTCTTTCATGAATTTATTTCTTGAAAATGTTATTACTATAATCGCTGGGCAGTGTAGCCGAATGGATAGTCGTTTATCGAGTTAAGAAGCAACGATTTTTAAAAGAGTAAATTTATTATTATTAGAAAAATCCGAATGCTATTGGCCACCAGTTTATACCTCTATCACTAAATGGCAAAAATTTCCAACCGCAGTAACTTCTAACACTTCTAACTCTTACTACTATTACTGGTTAGGCTAGCTCTGCTGGCCACAAGGATAAGACGTCTCCAAGCTGGGTCCTTCGGTCCGACGCCATCGCTAACAGTAATAGAAGCCATTCCTTTTTCCATCGTCTAAGTGTATATATCACTGGTCCCTCAATACGTTCAGAATTTTTCCGCACTAACTAACATAACGAGATATCGTAAATGCTAACCATTTACTAATTTACGAACTTTATTGAATTTTTTAAATTTTAATCTTATAATTGCCGATAATTTGCCATTAATTTAGACAAATATGAATTCATAAATTTAAAAAATATTAATAGTTTTAAGTGACCAATTATCAACAAATAATGTAATAAATGAACAAATTGAATTGTATTTTAATGCAAAAATCCTTGCGAATTTACTGAGAAAATTTATAATATAAGTTAAAATATTCAATAAAAACTGATAAAAATTAATAAAATGGTTAGTTATTCATCATTATTTTTGCATAGGTGCAATCAGAAATTTTTGCCAAGTGACTACTTGGCTATAGAGATACAAATAGTCATTTTAATGACAAGTTTATTCCAGTAAGTATCGCCATAAACCGAGCTCCCGTCTCTCAGTGGATTAGTCTATGCCATTATCCGCTCGAGCCTTTTCGATTAAATTGCTTTTTCATAAATCAAAGAAACTTTCAATTCCAAATTATGGCAAAGGTTGAATTCAATTCAGACTTCCTTTTTTTAAAATTTATTTCCGGTGTTTAGTTCATTTGAGGTTAAATTTCTAGAGAAATGTGAAAGTAAAGTTTCACTAGTTTCACTATCATTTCGACGTTTTCTGTCTAAATTGCAATTATTATTTTTTATATTCCTTATTTGTCAATTTTAAATCTTTTAGTTCGATTTTTAATGACAATAAAGAAGGAAAAACCTTTTCGTATTTATTTTAAAATTTCGTGGAAATATAAAAAGAGCAAAGAGCTTTTTGGTTGCGCTGGTAAGAAGAATTTTACTAGGAATTTTACTAGGATAGAAGAACAGTTGTGTCGTCAACAGAATTCGGATTTCTGAAAGGCAAATTTGCTCCTGTAGGAAGAGGAACTTAAAAATATATTGGCATCTTTTTGCTGCGAAAAATATTGCTTTTTTTGTATTTTATATATATTTATTTATTTTATTCTTTCTCTTCTCACAATAGCGATAGTTTTTTTGCGCGATGCGAAAGCAAAGCCTTTTGATTCAGGCATAACGCAAGTTTTTAAAAGAAAACAAAAATTATCATTGTTCATTTTTATTTTTGTGACACTCATTTTTTTCGTTAAATGTTTCATCTACAAACCAAATTCAGCGAAATTCGTTAAATGATCGCGAAATATTAATTATTTTTATGTGCAGTAGAAAAATTTACTGATTATATTAAAAAATTCTCGAGATTCGCTCATATTTTGAGGCGGAACAGCCGATTTCGAGTCGCTGCTTTCAAAAATCCAGGATGATGTTTGAGATCCATCTATATTTCTATCGCTAAATGATTCCTTAGGAAAAATTTCTTGTCGCAACAACAGCTAATTGACGAGTTTAATTAGAAATAGTGAGCATTACCATCAAGCATATTTTATATCTGAAAAATATTTAAAAGAGAACGCATTCACTAGGCCGCTTCGAAACTGGTGACAATATAAATCCACTGATCACTATTATCGTTATCAAAGCTGAATCTTGCTATCGAAAGCTATAAAATTTCGTTTATAAGTGTTGATTAACCGCTAAGCATATTATATCCGAAAAAAATATTTTAAAAACGCCACTATTCACTAGGCCACATCGATACAATAATATCGTTGCAGCAGTACTATAATTTCGATAAATTTTTCCCAGCTGAAATATTTCATTCTCGTGCATTTTTTTCTATGCGTCATGGATTAAATATTATTCGAAATCGAAAATATTAGTCAAAATTTTTTCGTTCAAAATAATCGCCTATCGAAATCTATCGAATTTATTTTTCAGTATTTGTATACGACGACGATATTTAAATCGCAAATGAATGATACTAGTAGCAGTAATAATTCTTCAAATCGGAAGTTAATGTCATCATTAAATGGTACCGATGATGATGATAATGATGGTTATAGCCTTATTTGTTGTGAAATATGCTTTAATTCTTTTCAACCAAAAAAACGACCTCCAAAAATTTTACCTTGCGGGCATAATTTTTGCGAGCAATGTTTATTTTCGTTATGTTGTCATCAACAGGTTCAATTTTTTAGCGAAATTAATTTTAATGAATTTAAATTAGAATCAAATTAAAATTTTTCCTATTTTTGATTAATAAATTGTACAAATTTTATTCGATTTTAATTCATTTAGACAACTGAATTGAATTTTTGAAATTTCTCTCTAATTTTTTTCCTTGCTTTGGTTTTTTAATTATTTCATTATTTTTTGCATTATATATAAGCCATTAGCGCTCCTGTCTCTGACTGGATTTGCTTCGCTGGCTATTAGTACTATTAAGAATTGTCCCCAGGGAACCACTTACCGGTAAAAGCACCCGTGGACCACCCGTACTATAAAAGTTTTGGTAGAATTCAGTTATTATTCGTCTTCACTAATTTATTTTTTTTTAAATCTATAAAATGATAACGAACAATTCATTAAAATGTTATCATCGCATTTTCTTGATATGCTTAAGCATATTTGCACCATTGACTATTTCACTGAAGTTTGGAAAATAAATCGAAAAAAAATCGCTAAAAGCTTTTTTTTGACTAAAAAATAATATTTTTTAAAAAATTACAAACGATTGTTTCAGTATTATTTGCTCGATTATGTAAATTGCCCGACATGCCGAGCGGAGTTCAACACATCAACAGCATTTAATGCTCCAACTAACTATGATTTATGCAGTTCGTTTGCGATTTATTTTTAGGATACTTTCTTGCATGCATTAATTAGACTTTGCCATAAGGATGAGTCATTTGCACTCGAGATTGGGATGCTAGCGAATCCCAAAACCAACTCTTACTTTTCTGTCAATGTTGACTCTATCGTTAAACGATTGGAGATCGAATTGTTGTTGCTGGTCTATAGTGCAGATAACGCAAGGCAAGGCACAGTGTCTTCAAAACTGACCATTATTTTTGAAGCTCCTCTTGATAAAAATCCTGTCTGCGCATAAATCTGGTAGCAAGCAAATGGGTACTATTTGTTAGTAACCGATGAGACATGCAGCAGCTGAATCATCGACGCATATATTGCGATTTCATATTTTATATTTTTTTTCAATTTTTCAATTTTTCTTTTTACATTCTTTTATCATCTAAATTTTAGGAATGCTTGAAAATAAGCAAAAAGACACAAATGTAACAGTCATACATGTGCCTGAAGCAATGCCAAATAAAAAAAATGAAATCAACCAACTACAGTCGATAATTTCAAGAAAATCACGGCGACCGTCGTTAAAGAAAGAACTGACGTGCACAGATTGCTCGCGAAAATTTAGTGATAAGAATACGAGGAAAATGGCTCGCTATTGTATGCGATGCTTTAATAAGGATGATTGCTTGGTATTTATAATAATTTTATTTATTTCAAATAGCTTTTAAACGGCCTTCTATTTGATGGAATGGGAAAAAAAATTATCAGAAGGACTTCAAAACGGCAAAATTATTATAGTAAAACCAGTATGTGAGCTCTGAAACTAAAAAAACAGTCATACGTTCGTTTTCAGCGATGTTTTATTGTTCCGTTATTTTTTCATTTCCTAAAAAATCATAATCTATTATTTAGCGTTTGTCCTGCTTAGAATGTTGTGTTAATCGACATAATGGTCATGAATTAGCAAGTATCAATGAAATCGAATATGCACATCATAGGTTAATCAATGAATTAAAAGAAATGAAAAGTAAAATCAAGGTGGAATTTTATTTTTGAAAAGACTTTAACAAATTGGCAAAAAATTAGTTTTTTTTTCTAGCAGCCATTATTATTAATATATTATTTTTTTGTTATATTATTAAATACATTTTTAAAATTTAAGATAAAAATAGTTTTCATATTGTGAATTATAAACAATTCAATTCATTTGATAGAGGTTTCGCCTAAAAATTATTACTTTAAAGATAAGCAAAAATTAGAAGTCCGAAGGTGATTAGGTACCTCGTTAGACTGGCTTATAAACGACACCAACCACTGTTCCACTAGTAGCAATTATGTTTTGATTGATAGCTTTTCAGAAATGAAAGTTTTTAGAGAAACTTAAAGAAATTGTCCTTTAATTTTGGAATTATTTTGAAAAAAAAATTTACTATTATTATTATTTTATAAAATTTTTGCAGATTGCCGCTGATCAATTTGAAAGAAATATAAAAGAAATAAAGCCAAATTGTACAACAAAAGAAAATGGCTCGCATATGATGAAATGCAATAAACAGGTTTGTTAATTATAAGTTAGAAATTGTTTTTTTATGCCAAAAAATTAGTTAGCGACTACAAAATGAAATTAATATGATTTTTCGAAAAACTGAGTATTTATTTATTCATCGTTAAGTTTATTAAAATTAATATTGTTAATATCACAATAATAATAATTAATAATAATAATAGTAATAGTAATAATAATAGTAATAATAGTAATAATAACAATAATAATAAATAATTATTAACAAATTATGATGGAAAATGGAAATTATAAAATAGCAACTTGGATTAAGGACAGCCACAATTCGTAATTTCTATTAATTTAGTTACCACTAAATAATGGGGATTCGCGATCGTTGATATTATTCAATTTATTAATTTATAATTCATAATTTATTCATATATTCATTTATAGTTATTATTTTTCCTTGAAAACATTACAGAAATTTCTTCTTGAATGCCAAGCCGAATTGAATTTTGCTATTGCTATCCTCGAAAATCCCGAAACCACGCCACTTCCGCCTACAGTAATTAGGAAAATGCGACAATATCAGCTTTATAACAATGCAAAATTATTTAAAATGCTTAATCTTATAGAGGTATTGAATTGAAATTGATTTGGCTATATTTGAAAAAAAAAGAAAATTGTAGTTTTAAAGGAAAAATGCAGTAAAAAAATGAATCACTCATAGTTTTCGCCGAAATTTTAAGAAAATGTGAAAAATTATCCAATCTTTTGAATATTTTTTATAGCAAAAATGGAGTATATTGAATGAGGAAAAAAAATTAAAGCAATTTTACTTTTCCAATTTTTAATAATTATTTTAGAAATTCAATTTTTGATAATTAATTTTAGAAATTTAATAATTCGTTAAGTGATCGAGAAGAACGACACAACAAATTAAAAAAAAAATGTAATATTTTTTTCTTAATTTTTCAAAAATTTTTAGAAAAAGGAGAAATTAATGCCACAAATAGCTTTTCCTGTTAATTGATTGGTTATTTAGAAAAAAAAATTCTTTTTTATCGCCTGATTGAATTGATAAGTGGTTTATGTTCGCAATATCTCCAAGGCTCACTACACTAGCCAATATGGTGAGGAATTTGTGCCAGAGGATCATTTGGTGATAAGTGAATAGCCAAAAGTGGATTTTTTAACGACAAGTTCATTCCCGCCTTGTTTTTTTGGCATTCAATTAAATTAGTTGTTACGATTTAAATTTTTGGTTGTTTCTTTTTATTTTTAATATTTTTGCTTTTATTTTTATTTATTCTTTTATTTATTTGTTTTTTGTTCTTATTTAATCTAATTATTTGATTTTAACTCTGATCTAATTTTTATTTTTCAAGTAAAATTTGCTTGTCAACTGATAAATTAGTTAGGCATATTTTTTAGCGATGTCTACATCGAATTTCTCTTTAAATGGACATCAGCCCGATGCAATCGTTAGTATTTCGTATAGAACGGCTATTGATTCAATAATTGCAATAAATGCCGTATTTGGTTTTAACACTTATCAGTATCGACAAATAAAAAATTGCATAAAGATTCTCTCAAAAGATGGGATCAGTAATGATGAGAAAAAAAATGCTTTTGTCGATTGTGCTAAATCTCTTAAATCATTAATCAATGAGTAAGAAATTTTCGCTTTTTTTGCAAATCAATAAGTAAGTAATCAATTAAAATACAAATTAAACAGTAAATTATGATAGGACTTTGCCATCGTTAACGATAATAAGCTGAAGGAATCTTTTTAGTTGTTATATCTTCCGCAAAATTTTTTTATGATTTGCATTCTTCTGGTTTGCCAGGGTAGAAATATCTTTCAGGCGAGAGTGTACAATAAACTTTTTTCTCCCTAGAAACCACCCATCAGTACCACTCGGACTGTTGAAATACAAATATAAGCCTTTGCTGGAGTGGAACCAAGGCATCCATACCTCGAAATGATGGCACTTAGCCATTCTATATTTCTATTCATTTTCTTTTCAAGCATTATTTTAAAAAAAACTTGTTTTTAAAAATTTTCAGTGATATTCCATCGCAATCACTACTTTTATTTATTGATGCATTTTTAAATATATTTTATCAATTAAATCAATTAGTGTCAAAATACCCAAAAAATATGAACGGAATTAAGCGAAATGATATATGGAAACTTATTCAGTGTTCATATAGCGAATTATTTAAATGTGCAGCAAAGGTTTTCTTTAAAAAAAAAGAAAAAAAACACCATTTTTATAATTTATTTAATAAAACGAGAATCGTTACTGCAAGAAAATTCAATTCAATTATTTTTTTTTATATGTGCATAAGTTGATTAGACTTTCGACATAAATCTGCCATATATATTGAAAGAATGGAAATTAAATTTATAATATTAATCTTCTTGATCAAAATCGCTGATATCATTTGATAAAATGATAAAAAATAAATAAATCTCTGAAAGAGTAATTTCAGTTAACAATTTATTGCTTAAATAAAATCAATCAAATAGTTTTAAATAATAATCTTTTAATATAGCATTGGCGTTGCGAAGAACCTGATCGAGTAAATTTAATAGACGATCTAGCTTTTCTATGTTGCTTATATTCGGATGTATGTGATCATGCGACAATCACAATTTGCATGATCGAAGCTGCTAGAGCTCGAGCCGCATCGAGTAATTTATCGCAAAATGAATGGCAATATCAAGAAACACGTCTACAGGTCGAATATTTTTGCATAGTTTACTAGAGAAAAAAGTGAAAGTGATTTTTTATAAATTTTAAAGAAAAATGAGATTTTCGTTTTGTGGGAAAATTAAGAAATTGAAAGTTTCAAGTCTTGAAATTTATTATTTTTCTGTTATTTTTTTAATAATTTTTTAAATTTTCAGCTTATTGATGAACATTTACTTGAATGTCGACGCATACAAAAATTACAGGAATTGAGTTCGACTTATTCAAATGATCGATTCAAGCGAATAAGACATTTGTGGAGAAAGATCTCATCATTTTTTAGGGCATTTATTAATTCCTATCTTTGATTCCTTCCTATACGCTAGCTAAGCTAATCATTATCATTATCATAATGTATTCAATGATTCAATTAATATTTTTCGTTTCCATAAAATGTTGTTCTAAACAATTATTCATTATTAATAAATTATGTGATTTTAATATGAAAAATAGTCTCGAACGATGTATTTTATTATATTTCGAATAGTTCAATCGTTCATCGCTTTTTTTTGAAACATAAAAAATTCTATAATGGAAATTACTAAAAATGTTATAAATTTTTAAATGTTTATAAAATATTTTACAAATCTATCAAATAAATTTAATGGTTTTTATTTCTAATTTTCTTTTTACTATCGATATAATTGAGTATAATTAAATTCCTTTTTTTCCAATATTTTTGAAAAAATTTCTTCAAAAGGAATCGTTCAACAAATCATAGAAAGAATTTAGGGAAAATTAGACTCTCTCTTCACAGCTATTGATATTTTATCATATGTTAAAGTCTTAAATAACATAAAAAATAGCTTTTATCTGATGGCTAATAATTATATTCCATAATAATTTTTCCGGATAATTTTGCTCTACTGTCAAACTAGGCAAATTTTTTCGGGGTAGAGAGGACCAATAAATGAGAGTCCAATAGGACGAAAAAAATCAGGAAAAATTTGTTTCTCTTTCACATCTATTTTTAATTTCTATTCGGCCAAATATTTTTATGATCTATTTCGTTTGATCCATCTAGTAGAAATTTATAAATTATCATCTGATAACCAATACGATTTCTGCATTTACATAAAAATTCATTTCGTTAGTTGGCGTGAATAAAAACGATACTTATAGTTGTGAAAAATCGCATTTTTATGAATAAGAATTAAGTTGTGGTTTTGGTGTTGCCAAACGCGGAGTCTCAGCATCGGCGGAAACAGCCTCATTTTGCTTTCGCCATTCGGTTCGGCGATATTACCGTCCAACGAAGTGGGAAAAGAATTCGAATTCGTGCCAATCTCGGTGGTAATTATTGTGCCGCCTATGCGCTATAAGCAATTTTTATCAAATCTGATACTCGAAATAGAATTTTTCTTTTTTATTATAATTTTATTAATAATTACCTTTTTTGTTGGTTCAGTGGAAAAATTAATTATCATTCATATCGTATTCCATGAAAAGTTTTTTCTAAACTCTTGATGAGGTTTTTTGTGCAAATGTTTTCTTTAATCTACGATTTCTTTAGACACGGAAAATAATATCTTTGTTGCACATGCAATACGCACACATATTGCATGTTGTTTGTATAGAAAAAATATCATTTATAAATATTTTGTTCTAAAAATATCTTATTTGCTTATATTCTTTCGATGCGAGAGACAAATAAAAATTGGCAATTTCACTTTTTTCACTTTTATTATTTAAGCTTAATTAGCTGAGAATATAATTAAAATGCTTTGAAAGCATTAATATTGCCAATAAAGAAAATTAAAAAAATATAATAATTTTAAAATAACTTATTTTAATATTTATTTTGAAATTTTAAAGCTTTTCAAAAAGATTCAATTTCGCATTTCTTCATTGAAATTTGAATATTTATCATTATCATCATTGTTATTATCATTGAAGATTACTATTAATCTGTTAAATGAAGTTATTTGATCTATTAAAATTCGTTGTAGCTATTTCATACTGCGAAAAATATTATTAGACAAATAATTCATTAGGTTTGCCTTTTGTCGTACAATTTTTTATATATTTTTTTCTAATTCCAGATTTTAATTGTAAAGATTTTGTCCTATAAAATCTTGCTGGACCCAGGGTTAGTCTTAGAAAATTGAAAGATTTTATCATATAAAAGCTATATCCTATAGCTTATAAAAATGAAGCTTTCCATAGATATAAACATATTTTAAATTGACTTTTTCTTATTATTTTTTTTTATTATTTTATCTCGAATTGAGCGCAAAATTAAATTTAATAATATGGTAATGTAATGTTATGCAATAATAAAAATACTAAAGGTTCACATAAAAGAAAAATTTTCTCTTTTTTTTGGCCAAATAAGTTTTTGTAGTTGTAAAATTCCTGTCGATAACATAATGCGCGGTTCTAAAAATTGCACAAAAATTAAAAGTATGGTTAATTTAGTGGCTTTGATAAGCGTTGAGTGAATAGAAAAAACATAATTATATTTGCAAATTGTGAAATATATTAAAATTTAATAAAAAAAAATTTACTAAAACTAAAATAATTTTTTTAAATATTTATGAAAAATAAATGAAAAATTATTAGCTATCGAATGAAATTAGCCAGTAATTACAATAATTTTTCGCGAAAACTTGGCAAATTTTAAAAATTTTAAATTTTAATATACATTTCACAATATATTTAAAAGTTTTACTTTTCTTCATTCTATTTCATTCCATCGAAAATTTCCTTTAAAATCTACCATTTCTATCAACTTTTTAATTTTAACTTTTATATTATTATTATATTATTTTTTTTACATTTTTAATAGAATCTAAAAATATTTTCATTATCGTTAACGATAGGTCTATAAATTGGTTCGTTTCATGGCTAATATTTCTTGAATTCTATGTTTTTTATACGACTAAGTGAACTGAATAAAATCCATCATGGAGTTTTTTTTTTTTTAAAAAGAACCACTTTCTTTCCAATAAGGATTTTTTTCTTCGAGCAGCCATTTCTACCTTTTGCTGGCTAATTTCACTTCACTATTTTCACTTTTGCTAGTTTCATCGAATAAGAGCTTTTGCGAAGAAATTTGGATTTTTATTATTACCTACAGTATTTCTCTGCCATAGTACATTCGTTGAATGTGATTTTATGGAATATGGAATGTGATAATTTTTTTATAGAATAAATAGCATTCATATAGATCTATTTTTTATACTTAAGTGAATCATCTTAATTTACCAGAAGTTTTTGAATAAATTTGGAAATATGCGTTCATACGATTCTGACACATTTTTCATTTATGACAATTCTTCACCTTTTTTTTTCAACACTTTTCATTTTAAAAATTAATTAATGGCAGAATTAGGAAAAATAAAAGTAAATTTTTGTAATATTCCTTATACTCCTTTATTCTAAGATACTTTTAAAATATTCTTTAAAAAACCTAAGTGAAAAATAAATTAATTATTATTTTAGCTGTTGTATTAATTTATGGCAAATAAAATTTTGCTTAGTAGAATTGATTCAGTTCTGCCCATTTAGCGAATATGGTGGATTTGAAAATACTGGAAAGGTTAAATTTTTTAATCCCTACAAATCGATTCAACAGGTTACGTTTAATATTCCTTTCCCCCCCTTCAGCTCCTTTTTTTCCTCTTATTTTTTCACTGAAATAATATTTTCTTTCGACGTTTTATTTGAAAATGATTCTCGCATTGAGCGATCGTTCTATGGTTCAAGTTTTGTAAAGAATGGTCGTTTTTCTCATTATTTTTTCTAATTTTTCTAAGTATCATTTTTATTGTAAATATGTTTCTATTATTATTCTTTTAATCTTCTATATTATTGCACTTTTATGAATACAAAACTCGTTTTTTTTGGAAGGAAAAAATTGAATTGGGGCATCAAGAAGAGAGAAAAATAAGCTTTTAAATTTAAATCTTGTTACCATGTGGAGATCCACACGCGTTTTTATTCCAAACTTTCTCTGAGGCGAAAGGATCAAATAATATTCAAATGGGTTGCATATTTCTGGATACGCATGGAATGTTCAGTTTGATGTATATGCGATAAACATATAAGAACCAAATATTGTAAAGAAAAAAGCTATTAAAACGGCATAAACTCTCAAACCATGATTGCCCATTTGGTGAAAAATAGGATGCAATAATACAATAAATTGGCAAGTATGGCGTGAGGACCTGATGTACTTATGTAGATTGCTTTATTCATTTTATCAAAGAATATGGATTTTTGGCCATGAAATGGTGCTTTCCACACCATTTAGTCACATGGATTCCTTATAGCCAGATTATATTCTGAACAATTGTCATCAGAAAACTTTTATGATAGATAGCCACTACTATTACGATGCTGGCCACTATTAATCACCATTATCACTATTATCGATCAGAACAATATTACTGCGTAATCGGAAATCCAAATTCAAAACTTCCCCCAAAACCTCGCCGTTATTTTGAGCTAAAAGATGTGTGGACAGTATATATAAACCGATTTATCAAAACATCTTAATGATCTATATCAACGATACGTTTGGGATGAGCGAGGAGGGTTAATCCCTACTAATGGCGTATTTTTATAAGCCGACTATAATCATATTCGAATATGCCATTTGGGAAACGAGCTAATTGGACATCCGGAAAAATTATGCCACAATCTAACAACAATCAACAACAACCCAAAAAAGTCACCAAATTCCTTTTGCTGGGCGCTATCACTTGCAAGATGTAACAATAATGGTATTGCTGGACTAAAACAAATGGCTCCGAAGACAGATAGAACTGTTTTAATAAACAAAAATAAATTTTTTGCTATAAATGCGACGATGCTTGTGCTCTAAAAGAAAGCAAAACATCAATGTGGAAAAATGGAAATCAATTTAGTTATGAATGAATTAAAGGTTATTGAATGGGCCGAGATGACCTTAAGCTTTAACACAAATAAAATTTCACTCGATTAGAACAGAAAAGAGAAAAAAAGGAAATAAAAAAAATAATATTAGCCTAGTGGCTCTGTGCCTTCGGCCAAATTTAGTTCCAAATAAGTCTTTTTATACGTTTTTTTACGACCGTATTTATGCGATTGTTTTCAATTTAGTGTTTAGATTTTAGCCATTTTTTTCTATGCGATTGAGATGCCATTTATTACCATATTTGAATAAATATTTAACCGAATTATTCGAATTTGAGATTTATGATTCGATCCGATTTACAAATGGTCGATTATATAAAAAACGAGAAAGATTCGATATAATTAAGCGCCGAATTCTAACCGAATTCTAAAGCCAATTCTGACGGCTAATTCTCTAAACAATGATGGT